ACAGGAAAATGGTGACTTCAAGCCCCCTTCTTGTGGGAGTCTCACAAAGTGGCTCGATTTGGCATGTTTGTTCTGCCCAGAACTGTGTGGTCTTCTGAGAATGGAAGCCGAGGGGAGGAAGGAGGAAACCAGGGGAACTTTCCTTCCTTTGGAGTCTTCACTATGTGCCACTTCCTTCTACCCCTTTACAACCTAGCTTATCCCATTGAGCAGGCGAGAGGAAGCTCACTAGGCATTAGGTGGGAATTTTTGAGGCCTGCCAAGCATCTCCAGAATTCTCTTCCCTCGAGAGGACCACCGTAAGTCCTCGTTGAGTAGCCTGACACCCAGACACGACACAAACCCTCTTTGGTCCCTCTCCCTTCCCTGTCTTGTGGCCCTCTGGGCTCCACTATCCTCTGTCTCCTTCAATGCCCCTCTCCGCTCTGCAGAGCCTGCTTTCCCCTGTGGCATTTGGCTTTGGCACTGAGTACCTGGTCCGCTTTGAAGAGCAAGGCCTGGGGCTGCAGTGGGACAACATTGGCAAGAGTCCCATGGAAGGGGACGAGTTCAGCTTCCTGCTGGCCATGAAGATGATGCTCCTTGATGCGGCTCTCTATGGCTTGCTTGCCTGGTATCTGGACCAGGTTTTTCCAGGTAGGCAAGGAAGAATCAGGCTACTTTATCTCCCATGGTCAAGGGAATGAGATTTGTTTGGCTCAGTCTTCTAGTTTAAACTTGATCCCTCCCTGAGCTATTTGAACTTAAAGCTCGCAGGGCCAGTATCTGAATTTACAACTAGAAGTTAAAACTCCGCCAACCAATTATAGTCTCCGCTTTAAAAACAGGTCTACACTTGGAGCTGGGGAGGTGACTCGGTAGGTAAAAGTACTTGCTATGCAAGTGTGAGGACCTGAGTTCGAATCCCCACAACCCACATAAAACCTGGGCATGTCAGCAAGTGACTGTAATCCTACTGTTGGGCTGTGGAGACAAGGGGGTTCCAGGAACCCTTTAACCAGCCAACCTGGCCAGGACAACAAGCTTCCAGTTCAACAAATGACCCTGCAGCAATGGACTCAGGTGGGAGCAGCAGAGGAAGGCACCTCCTCTAGCCTTGGCAGGCATGCTCATGAGTATGTCTACCCACATACATGTGTACATATGGGTACATATACATGTGTGTGCCACATGCACACACACACACACACACACACACACACACACACACACATGACAGGGCCAGGGAAATAGGTCTACAATTGGCTTCCTTGTCACCACCAATTTCATTCTAAGCCTCCATCCCCCCATACCGCCTACCACTGTGTCCCCCTCACTGTATGCAGAAGGAGCCTTTGCAATCCAGCTGGTGTCAACACTGTTCAAATCCCTTGGCGGTCCTTTCTCCTCATTCAGAGTAAAACCCAGTGTCCCAACTCAGGCTTCATCATCTGCCTTTCTGCTACCCTCTTCACCTCCTGCCTTCCCTTCCACCCAAAGTCTCTCGGCCACCACAAGCTCCCACACTGATGTTCAACACACCGAGCCCACTAGCACACTTCCTGGGCCGACCTTCACACCTGCTGTTTTCACTAGCACTGCCTTTCTCCCCGGGCTATGCCTCCGATCTGCTGACTCGGCTCCTCACTCTGCTCAGGTCTCTGTTCAAATGTCAGCTTATCACAGGGATCTTTCTAGACTGAAGAGTACTAGATCTTTGTCATTGTATGACCAATACCCCCTCTGCGGCGCTAACCCTTTACCCTACTTTTTTATTTTTTTAAGCACTCATTACCGCCTGACATGACGTGGAGTTGTTTTGTGTTTGTTTGTTATCTTATGAATGCCTGGTTTTAGTTTGACTTGTTTCTAGCCAGCGTTTTTAACTTAAATTATCTATCTTTCGCCTCTGGGCTTTTTACCTTTTTTTATTTTTGTATGTCTCCCTCCCCCGCTTCTTATTTCATGTCTGGGTGTGTGGCTAGGTAGCAGGCCCCTAGTATCCTCCTCTCCTCCTTTTCCTGCTCCTTCCTCCTTTTTTTTTCCGTCTATTTATTCTGTATGCCTGCCATTTCCTCCTATCCTTTCTTCTGCCTTTCCATTGACCATTCAGATCTTTATTAGACCAAACAGGTGTTTTAGAGAGGCAAAGTAACACAACTTCACAGAGTTGAACAAATGCAACATAAAAGAATACAACACACCTTTTGTATCATTAAACAAGCATAAACAAGCATAACACCTTCTAATATTTCACAACAGTGACGTAACCTTATGTATGCATTTGTTGACTTACCATCTTTCCAAGGAGAGCCCCACGAGAGCAGAATTATGGTCTGTTTATTTCTCAGCAACATCCTGGAAGCCCTGACTAGAACTTAGTATTTCATGGACACCGAATCATTATTTAACGCACCTGCAGCCTAGAAAATCAGCTACTGGTCAAAATTAGCTATTTGCGAAGTTTTATAATCTACTTTGCAGAAACTCAGCTTTTCCTTCAAATCAGCATTTCCTAGAGCGGGAGCAGGCCCCTCTTCACCTGGATGGTCTCCATGTCAGCCTTCGCTGCACAGTGACATCTGGGTCTAGCCCTTGATGCCCTGGCCAAAGCAGACAGGGAGGAGTAAGGAGCCTGGAAGACCAAGCTGATGGTCCTCAGAAATAAGCAGCTGGGCCAGGTACGGCAGAGTTCAAGTGCGGCCTGGGTTACAGTGAGCTCCTGTCACAAACAGAGAACCAAGCCAATCAAACAGCAACGGGTGTGCAGTGACCACAAATGGGAAAAGCTGGCCGAGTCCAGCAGTCTGGGTCCATGTCCCTCCTGAAGGACAATGTGTTTTCCAGAGTTGTTATCACAAGGGCTATGTATGGTACGGCTTAAAATAAGAGTTTTTTTTTTTAAATCTCTTTTTTTTTTTTAAAGCTAGAAATCAAAAATGAAGCTGTTGGGAAAGCCACGCTGCCTATAAAACCAAACTTCTCGGGGGTTTTGACCCTCTGGCTTCCTTGACTTGCAGGCACCTTGCTCCAATCCTCACCTCATGTGGCATCTGTCTTCATGTGACTATCTTATGAGGACTCTGTGTGGTCACCATGCTCCAGTATGACCCCACCTAACTTAACTAAGCACATCTACCTTCTAAACAATGCCACATTTTGAGACTGAGGTTGGGATTCTGGTTAGGACACTAGAGGTGTGATTTCTCAAACACCATCACATTCCCTGCCACTACCATTTATTTCCACTCTGAGACTATCCAGTAAGGGACAATCCCATAAGACCTCCCTCGGTTCCTCCGCCCGGTCCTAACACTACCAGAGTGCTCTCTTTTCAATTACGGCTTTATAGTAATGGCTGTAACTCAAGGACTGCCATAAGGTGAGGAGTGAGGGCAGGAATGGAATGGCCTAGTGCTTCTTTGCCTTCTCCGGGTCACCCCCTCCCAGCACTGAAACATGGTTGCCAGCCCAGAATCTCTTCAAGTCCACTTCCTAAGGTTTGGAATGGTTTGCAGCCCCTTACTCTTCCTGGAGATCAGAGGTTGGGCTGAAAGGTTCCTCTTTGCACATCTGTTCTTTCTGGTGAGCCATACCCAGATGTGAAGTTGCAAAGAGAACTGGAACCAGAACTTTTTTCCCCTTAAAATACAGCTGAATCCAGTGGAATGCGGGGAGTGGAGAATGGGGACGTTAGAACCAGATTGCCTGTTTAGGATTCTTACATGTTTATTTCACTGGGGCAGGTGGCTCCAAGTTAGTGCACCTCAGTGTCTGCATCCTTCAGACTAACATTACTTCCCGGTTCCTAGGGTTTTCAGAATCCGGTGATGTAACACATGGGAAGTATGCAATACGCCCGTTATATAAACAGAGTCCAGCAAATATTTGTGATCTTCAATATTATTGCTTTCTGGTTAACTGCTAAAAAATGGCGTGATTTAATTCTTTGATAACACTTATTTCTTGGGAAACTGATGTCAACGAGGATTGTCATTGCCAGTGTTGCTGGTAACACCCAAAAAAATCCCATGGTATTTTGATTACAAACTTACCGAAGGAAGCGCTTTGCCTGATAGCCCATGGGTAACTACACAATGGCTTGTGACTATCAACAGTTGTTATAATCTGAGATTTACACTGAGTATATTGTAGAGCTTTGTGATGCGGGGTGGGGGCTCACTGTTTTCTCTCTTTACTTTCCTGTTCTCAGGAGACTACGGAACACCACTCCCTTGGTACTTCCTTCTGCAAGAGTCTTACTGGCTTGGAGGTGAAGGTAAATTGGGTGTTTTGTTTGTTTGTTAATTAAAACAGCCAAGTGGTGGTGACATGTGACTTTAATCCCAGCACTCAGGAGGCAGATCTCTGTGAATTCGAAGCCAGCCTGGTCTACGGAGTGAGCTCCAGGACAGTCAGGGCTACAGGAAAAAACCCTATCTTAAAAAAAAATAAATAAATAAAACAAAATGACAACGCCAGAAACACTTCAGAACTGAAATTAATTCCTTGGGGTTTGTGCACGATGTGTGGAAGGTGCCAAGGTGGCCCTTTATGTCAAGTCCCGATTCCTGCTGCCTGCGGTGGGCAAGCAGGCCGCCCAGCATCACAGCCTCCACAAGCTTACCTCTGGTGAATCACAGAGCCAGAGCAAAAGGCAGGAAATTGACAGTTCGCGTCTGGGATTAAGCACCTGTTGAAAAGGGGTTGCACCATTTCAGGAGTCAAATATCTTCTTCCCGCTTTTAAAGCAGGGATCCAGGAATCATGACGGGAACTTTGCTGTCAGCCTTTGCTGCCTCCCCTCTCCTCTGTCCTTACTCTCCACAGTCTCGAAAGGCACAGTAATTGACTCTGAAGATGAGGCAGAAACTGCGCTGTGGATCCGCAGCTCGACGGCTGGAGAAGAAAGTCAAATAGACATTTGCTGACAGTGCCTCGTAAACACAATTTATCTTTCCTCAAACAAAACAGGAGGCCAAGTGATTCCTGGAAATCATAAGAACCCCTTAGAGGTTTTGCTGCGGGGTCTAGGACCGGGGCGGATAGCGGGTGGGATGGAGGCTACTCTGGAACAGCATTTGGAGGACACAATGAAGAATCCATCCATTGTTGGAGTCCTGTGCACAGACTCACAAGGACTTAATCTGGGCTGTCGTGGTACCCTGTCAGATGAACATGCTGGAGTGATATCTGTTCTAGCTCAGCAAGCATCTAAGCTAACCTCTGACCCCACTGATATTCCTGTGGTCTGTTTAGAATCAGATAATGGGAACATTATGATTCAGAAGCACGATGGCATCACAGTGGCAGTGCACAAAATGGCCTCGTGACATCTCTTGTTCTCCAGCTGCCCGACACAGGGCTTCAGTCCTACCTGTGTTAACTTGTAAAAACTAGTAAAGTTCCAGAAGTTAGGTCATTCACCTAATGTCCGATGTGGACTTTTCTTTACCAAGATACCAGTTAGAAAGGATCGTAGTTTTGTTTGGGCTTTTGTCATTTTGCTCTTTGGAGACAGTTACTGCAGTCCAGTATTGCAGCCCAACATTGAAAGAACTGTGTGGCCCAGGCTGGTCTCAAACACGTGGTCTTCCTGCTTCAAAGTCCTGCATCCTAGGAATAGGCATTTGTCACCAAGGTCCAGATCCCTTTGTATATAGAACTTTGCTGTGGTCAATAAATTGGTTCAGAGGAAAAAAAAAAAAAAAAATAAGAACCCCTTAGATCATAGTCTTTTGAGTTCTGGGGCAGCAGAGGGCCTCCAAAGCTATGAGAGAAACGCGAAAGCTATGAGCTACAGCCTCCCCTAGAACTGGGAGGTTTAGGAAGGAAAAAAAATGCTTTCGAATGTTCGAACTCAGCTCTGCCTACCCATGCTTCAATGGGAATGACTACACCTGGGCCAGTTTCTAACCTTTAATCACTGACACCGGTGTTTAGTTCTTCTAAGGCTTAATCTGAGTCTTTGAAAGGCTTGTATAGATCTTTGTTTGTTTGACATTTTTGAGGGTCCCCCCAAGTATTTTTCTCTATATACATTTTTAATAGCTCAAGCAGCAGTGTTTGGACAGCCCAGTGTTTTTCCATTCCATTGTTTTGTGTGTCGTGTGTATCTACAAACTTTCAAATGTCTACTGTGATAAAGTTCTCAACCCATCATAAATGGGGGTGTCTAACACAGGGGCGCCCCTGGAGTGTTCTTAATGTCAGTGAACGCCAGCGCTCTTGCTCATTTGCCCCCTCTGTGATCCCAAGAGGTCCTCTGCTATTTAAGACAAAAAAGAAAAATATCGAGAAACGTGTTCCTTGGAAACAAGACACACACACTTTTGCTGACAGAAGGAGAATATGCTTCACCTGTCTCGTAAGCTGGACGAAATTCAATCCCTCACTCTATCTGGATCGGAAGGCAGAGGACTCACTCCCCAGCTCCTCTTCTCAGAGACACAGGACATCCATTTCTTACAAAAATCCCACCGGACACCAGCAACAGAAACTAGAACATCTCCCGGCAAGGAATCATGCGGTTATTTAGAAACCTCAGTGGTTATTTAGAAAGGCATTTGTTCTGGATGGTTTATTCCACCTGTGGACAGTGTACTAGCCCGAATGTTGACTTCAGAAATTGTGGAGAATAAACTCGAAACTGCTCTGCTCCAGGAAGAGGAGTCAGACTCGCAGCAGGAAGCCCCCCTCTGACCATTCAGCCCCAGCCTGCTGCTCCCTCCCATCCTGCGGGCAGAGAGGCCCTGGTGAGCAGACACCTAGAATAGCCCAGATGCTGGCCCGTCTGCACTTGAACCAGAGCCCTAAGGGCTTGGTGCTGGTGGCTTCTTCCTCCGGTTCCTGCTTCCTCTCTGGCTGGGCAGCCTTTCTGCTTCTTCCCTTTCCAGGATGTCCTTGACACCCTTTTAGACCAAATGCCAATTAAAAACAAAACAAAACAAATCCACAAGAAAACAAAAGAAACCATGGTGTGTGTGTGTGTGTGTGTGTGTGTGTGTGTGTGTGTGTGAGAGAGAGAGAGAGAGAGAGAGAGAGAGAGAGAGAGAGAGAGAGAGAGAGAGAGAGAGAATCACCCTTCACAATCCTGAATACACCAGGCTCCACCCTGGTGTTAACCTCAAGATTCTTGAAAGCTCAAATAGGTAGTTTTCTCAAGGGAGCTCTTCCTCAAACTTAGACGTACGCTGGCTACCCATCATATCACTATAGATGAATTTCTGCTCATGGTTCCTCTGACTGACATGTTGTAGTTTGGAGCTAAAAAGGACCAGGTGGTAAGCTAAAGAAAATTAACCCATTCCAAATTTAACCCTGGGGCAGATTTTTTTATGTGACTGTTTGGGGTTTGGATTTTGGTTTTTCAGTCACAATTTCGGACATGGGAAGCCTAGCATATTAGATGGAAGAGGTGAGGGCTGGGAATGATGCTTGGTGGGAGAGCGCTTGCCTAGCATGCATGAAATTCTGAGTTTGAGTCCCCCTAAAAACAAACACCAGAGTAAATAGAAACTCTTTCAGCTCCAAGGCTCCGATTACAAAAGTCCCCCTGGGCTTGATGAAGATGGTGCAACCCGATTTGAGTATCTCGTGGCCTGGCAGCAGGTCAGAGCTGGAGGCCATGCAGCAGGCTGGTCTCAGAGCAATGCTGACTGTTGAGGAAGCTCTCTTCCCCTTGTGGTGGGGAACTCAGTTGTTCCCTCTGCCCCTCCTCTCCTTGCCTGTCTTTACTGAAGAGTCACATAGGCTTCTGATTGGTTCAGGTTGTTCGACCAGAGAAGAAAGGGCCCTGGAAAAGACTGAACCTTTAACAGAGGAAATGGAGGATCCGGAGCACCCGGAAGGAATGAGCGGTAACACCCGCCACCCCTCCCCCACTCCCCAGCCCCAGAAAAGGGCAGAGCCGAGCCAAGGCAAAAAGCTAGGGAGCTTAGGTAGTGCCAGCAGTGCCAGAGCAAAACCACAAGATGGGTGGAACGAAGAAGGCCAGGAAGCTGCCTCCCTCTCCTGACTGATGTTAAATCTGACGTCCAGCTGCGTATGACGGGCATGAAGGGTCCAACGCAGACATTAGTGCCTGTTTCCTGGAGAAAGCAAATCCCAAGTCTGTAGTGTGTTTGTGCCCTTGTTAGGCAAATCCCAAGTAAATTGCACGAATGTGCTGACTTCCGAGGATTTAGCCAGAACAATGACTTGGGTCACTGGGACTTGAAGCGGATATGAGCTATAAGGAAAGACAAAAATAAGTGCTGTCAGGGGAAAGAGTCTAGCAGAGCTGACTGCATGCACTTCGCTCAAGGTTTATAAACCCTGGGTCCATTCACTAGCACCAGCAGAAGCCTTTCCTGGCTGTGGAGGTTACCTAATCGCTCCTGGGCTGATGGGCAGACTACATAAGACTTGTGTCCCCCGGCTTTTGTTGCTTCATCTTCCTCTTGATCTAATTCTTGTAAGGGTTCTCATCCTGCAGCGTATGTATTTCTTAGGTTTAGAGAGGTGCCTGGGCTCTGATATTGGCGTGAGAAGGTCCAGCCTCCAGGTGCCCCTCAGGTACCTTTTGGCAAAGCTGCCGCTGGAGACCCGGATCCACACGGAGTTGGTTTGCAGACAGGGATGCCTCTGGAAGACCCTCCTCCTGGAGTGGTTTGACAAGGCTGAAATGACAGGCAGTGAAACTGAGGATGGGCTTCCAGTTCAGATTTAGGCCAGTCTGGGAGGCACAGACAGACAGACAGACAGACAGAGCAACAGATTTAGGGACAGAGCCAGGGAACAGATATTTGGAATTAATACTCTGACGATAATTAATCTGGCTCTGTAGAGTATCCTGCAGAGAAGATATGGTAGGGGTCAGGGGAGGGAGAGAGTCGGTCAACACTGAAGGGGACAGGAATTGGAGGGAGGGAGGAGCCATGATGAGGAAGAGTGGGCTGTCTAGGAGTACTGAGGGGTAAGAGCTGGTGCCAGAAACCCATGAAGAATCCTGTCGACTGAGTCTGAGAGCAAAGATGGAGCTTGGGGTTAACTCAATATGCAAGCAGGGACTATTTCAGATGAGAATGGACCCTGGGCTCACACCCCAACTCTGCCACTTACAAGCCACGTAACCTCAACAGAACACTTACCGCCTCTCAGTCTTGGACTTTCTAACCGATTGAAATGAGTATGAAATGAGGTAATTCTTGGAGAACACCAGAAACAGTGCCCGACTCACAATAACTGTTAAATCGATGGCCAATGCCATTATTACCATGGTCGTTTTGATCCTCTTTGCAAAGCTACAACCACGTGGGCAGGTGAAGTTCCAGACAGAACACAGGATAGAAGAAGGCACTGTGTTCACTGAGCATGGTCGTTAGCATGTTGCCTTTCTACAATGTGCTTTTTTTTTCCAAGACTCCTTCTTCGAACGCGAGCTTCCAGGGTTGGTGCCGGGAGTGTGCGTGAAGAACCTGGTAAAGGTTTTCGAGCCCAGTAGTCGGCCTGCTGTGGACCGCCTTACCGTCACTTTCTATGAGAGCCAGATCACGGCATTCCTCGGTCACAACGGAGCAGGGAAAACCACCACCTTGTGAGTTCTCTGGCAAAGGGGCTGTCCCCATCCCATCCCATCCCATCAACATCCCCGGCTTCATTCTCCCCAATAACTTCAATCTCTGCTGAACCTATTGAACTGTGGTGAAAAGAAACGAACTTACAAACAAAACACCCTTGTTGTGGTCCCAAGAATTTCCAAAGCAAGCTGGCTGTGGTGGCTTAAATGCCTTTGTTCTCAGCACCTGGGAGGCAGAGGCTGGTAAACTCTGAGTTCAAGGCTATCCTGGTCTACTACATAGTGAGTTCCAGGACAGCCAGAACTACATAGTGAGATCCTGTCTTGAATGCAATCTCCTCCCAAACACTGCGGAATAAAATTAAGTAATAAATAAAAGTTTAAAAATCTTCTAAGGGGGCTGGAGAGATGGCCCAGCTGTTAAGAGCATTGCCTGCTCTTCCAGAGGTCCTGAGTTCAATTCCCAGCAACCACAGGGTGGCTCACAACCATCTGTAATGAGGTCTGGTGCCCTCTTCTGGCCTGCAGGCATACACACAGACAGAATATTGTATACACAATAAATAAATACTAAAAAAAATCTCCTAAGAATGCTGCAGTATTCAAAGCCCATTCCAGTACATGTAATATTCGTAAGAAGCAGCGAGAGAATGGGGAGGAAGTGTATAGCCCCCTTCCTGCCGCGGAAATAGCCATTCACAGAGTTTGGGTGATTTTTTTTTTCCCTGAGCCTCTGAGTTGGATGGCTCAGTAGGTGCATTAGCCAGGCCCTCTTGCCACAGTCGCCTCTTGTTCCTAACACCCTAAATCCCCTTCTTAATCCCCATCACTGTCATCCAGAGTGAGGATAAAGTCCTGGCTGTCTGTGTCCAGGGTCTGTAGAACATCTCTGTTTTTAAGGAGCATTCCTCTTCCTACCAATTATCAGGATGCTTCAGTTGGCATGGGACCTCTGTTGGGGGTTGGTTACATTTCTAAGAAAGTGTAGAGAGACCGGTGGCGGCGTCTACACCTGGCAGAAGGCCAAGTGCAGGAAGATCTGTATCTCTGGGTGGACTTCTCAGTCCTACAGGTCTTCAGGAGCCTGAGCGCCATCTGCTGAGGTTCCTAGGCAGAGCTCCGCTGGG